TGAAATTGCATCCCATACTACAATTTCAACCTCAATTGGCTCCCAATGACTTTGAAATTGCATGGCTCCCAATGACTTTGAAATTGCATCCCATACTACATCCCATACTACAACCTCAATTGGCTCCCAATCCCATACTACAACCTCAATTGGCTCCCAATTTCAATTGCTTCGAACTAGCTCCCAATTTCAATTGATTTTGATTTCACTTTGCCACCCAAGTGAAATTGCTTCCCAATTTCCACTTGTAATTGGCGCCCAAAGCTTAAACTAGCGCCCAACTCCATCAGATTAATTTAATTTGACTTCTCAAATTTTACCTTGTAAAATTGTTAATGGTGAGTTTCAAACTTGAGCCATTTCGGATAATATATAAAGCATCATCCACTTCGTCCGTACAACTTTTGATTAAATCTCCAATCACATTTGATGTACTTCTTTCTTTCCATAGATGCTTGATCTCCAAGTCAATTTCATGCATTCTTCCAATATTAATTTTCTTCACGAAAATTCTTCTGGGATATCTTCTTTGAGTAGTAGCGACGTGAATATTGTATCATTCATCTTCTTCTTCAATTTGTCATTTTCTCCAGACAAATTCTTGATTTTCGGCTTTATATCTTCTTCTTCTATTTTCATCAATTTTCCTCTGTTTTTCTCTTTTCATAATTAAATAATTTCCCGATCACGGTCTAAGACTCTACTAGACCTATAAAATAAAATTGGGGGATCTACAAATACAAATTTGGCATATCAAAACCATTACACTTTATTCCTAACATGTTTATTATGGTTAAGTTGGTTGTTTTCACGGTGCTTACATATGCGTTCATGAGCCCTTTAACTTGCGCAGCATTAAACCAACAAATGCGATAAAATAGAATATATATTAAAGAACAATTCTAGAAAATCAAAACAAAAAAAAAAAGAAGAAAAATTGATTACATTTACTTGAAATGCGATATGAACGCTTAGGATGCGTAATACTGCAATATAATGTGCGTTGGTTTATGTTTTAAAAGTTTAGTCCGTTGGAAATACAAAAAAAGCTTAACATGCGCAATACAGTAACATAATGAACTTTAAATAAGATGTACGTCTGGGTGTTTTTTTTCCGGAGATATTAATATGCGTAGCATTTGATCTTAATGTGCGTTGATTGAATTTTGTCTAAAGGTACTCGGATTTGCATGTTTATTTACCCAATATGACAAATAACCAATTGACCAAAAATGAATAAATTGCAATGGGATTTATTATTCACATTGCAATAACTTACACTTTGAACTGCTACTTCAACAAATATAATAATATTAATAATAACAACAACAAGAACATTAATAATAAAGGAAACATCCCACTTATTATCAACCACCAAACACAATAAAGAAGCCATGAGAGCTTATTTTAAATAACAGAAAAAAGAAAAAAAAAAAAACCCCAGGCAAACGACAGGATCCATCTATACCTTTTGAAGATATTTCTTTTGGATAAGTCTGCATTAAGGTACCAAAAGATATATCTACAAAAGGATTAGAGGATCTTGCCGTATGTCTGGGCTAAAACGACACATTCTAAACCTGAAAAGATCGACATTTGTGAAGCTAAAATCTAATCGATCCAACACATCCAAATCAGTTAGAATGTGCTGTTTTAGATGAAAACAACTAAAACATGTGCTCTGCACGAAGAACGTCTGCTTCGCTCATATCTCCTGTAACTCCTCGTATAAACTTCCGGGTTTGTGGTATTTTGTAATTGATACATGGGATGTTTAGAATAAAGTTGCTATTGTTATCAACTACATTGACAAACAAATAGAAGGAGGGCGAGTAAGATGAGAATATGTAAACATCGTTATGAATGCTCTGTAAAACTCAAATTACAACGTTTCAATATATATACAGTATGGTAATGTAACACCCCCAAAACAACAAGACCTAAAAACAAGTCTTAACACATGCAGATTAACAACAAAACTTGCACAGCGGAAGACAAACGGAAACTGGATAAAAGAAATCCAAACAGGGGTGTTATGCCACGTATACCACACTAGGTAACGCTAAGGCGACAATCTGCAAGCGTATCACACTAACCCAAAACATCAGTCTAAAACCATTGGCGCGCAGGCCACAAAAACACAGTCTAAAGATACAGGTGCTAAGCTACCAGGCTCAAGACATCACACTCGACTACTCAACACCTGAAAGAACACAAAGATAAACATCGGGGCGACGCCCGGTCAGCGAAAGATGCTGGTAACCCACCAATACCGTTAAGTATCATAAATAGGTAGATATAAGATATAAAAACCATTTTCGAAACGGAATACATATATATAAGTCAAAAGCCAAGATCAAAAGACAACACAAGACTCACCACTCACAAAGATAACTCCGGGAACACATCCCAACCACAAAGGTTAATCACACACAAGGATAAAGACTCACCCAACGGCAACACATGCCAAAACACCACAAGCCTCCGTGACTACACACGTCACGAGAGAAGATCACACAACAACGGCTACACAAGCCCTCGTGACCTCACCCATCACGAGTTGATATGCCTTCCTTATGCCCTGTTCCAACCTTATGACTACCCCCAACTTTGTATCTTCTTTCCAACCATTACCTCTAGAATCCCCTGTACAGCCAAGTCCAACCTTATTCCTCCGGGACCGTCGTCCCCCACCAACAGACCACCAACGAACCACCACCAATCACGGCAACACATACCCGGATAACACAATGTTATCCCCCAATCACGTGAACCTTTCTCGAAGGAACACAACTCCATAATCACGTCACGGCCACCACGAGGAACGCTGCAATACCTTGGTGACTAGCGTCCCATACCACTAATCGTGCAATCCAGGTAGAGCCACACACGCACCACCACTCACAACGAAGGTATGAAACATACTCAATCAAGGAACGGGTCACCACCCAATGACAACAACGATGAATAACGCAAGTTATCATCAACCAAACGGAAGGTACGAACAACACACACGCTAGCATTAAGACAACAAACTAGCATGCTTATCAACGGGGAAACTCAAGATAGTTCCGAGGAACACACAAGACACCACTTGGTTCAACGAAACACAATGTTGAACACTTAGCACGATTCAAGACACCAAAGATCCTACATGGATACCTACCATAAAGCTCTAGACCTACGAAACATAAAGAAGACACTCAAATAGTTCCACAAAAGAACAACGGGAAGCCAAAGGATCAAACACCAAGACAACCGAATCACGGGGAACAAATCCCGACATCGCCACAACTATGTACCCGCGGGTGGACCCACGGGTAGTGCCCCACCCGTGGTCCCGCCCGCGGGAACAATATCCCACGAGGCTGTACCCGCGGGTAGGCCGGCGGGTGGTGCCCCGCCCGCCGTTCCGCCCGCGGGAACGTCTCGATACCACAACAAATCCCTTCGGGGATTTTCTTCTCCAAACACAAATTCAAGTCCAAAACACACCAAATCTCACCAAACACAACAAAATGACTTGAACCAAGGAACATGCCAAGCAATGGCACAAAGGAACCCTAAACACAAGCTCTAGATATGCAATATCACAAGATAAATGCATAAACACTCACATTTCATAGCAAAACACATGTAGAATCCAAGAAATCATATATAGGTAAGCAAAATAGGTTTTGTAGAGCATGGGTTACCTCTTGAAGACCAAAAGACTTCTCTTACACCACAACAAGCTCTCCACTAAGCTCACTAGCCAAACCCTCTTCAAGATCAAACTAAAAGATCATAAAGATCCTACCTTTAAGAAAAAAACAACTAAGATGGAACCAAAAAGACTAGAAAAGCTTAGATCTTACCCTTCTAGATGCCCAAATAGGTGAAAGATTGAATCTTGGAAGCAAAACTTGGAATCTTGACAAAGGTCTCACTTGGCTTGAAGAACAAGCTACTCTTCTTTTCTAGAGAGAAGGTAGAGATATTTTTCTAGGAATTGTAAGGAATGAAATGAAGAAGACTTCTAGGTTTAGATTACAACACTAGCTCTTGGCACTAGTACAAAATAGAACATAGGAGACTGACATTTAGCTACTGTTGTTAAAAGAACAGTAATTTATTTTTAATTCAAAAATTTGCGGTGGCAATTTCGTAATAATGCATAAATAATATGCTACTGTTTTTAGGTGTAACGGATGCGGATTTAAAAAATATAAATAATACCGCCACTGTTTCTACACGAAACAGTGGCGGAATGTATTAAAAAAAAATTAAAAAGAAATCTAAAACAACCCTAGGTCAGATACTCAGATCCGGCCTCCACTCTCACTCTATCTCAGCTCCTCTCTCGCTCTACCTCCTCTCCTAAGACGACCACACTCTCCCTTCTCACTCCCCGCCTCCACCGCCACACCCGCCGCTATTGCATCGTCGTTCCTGCCGATCCGGAGATTTGAGATGTAAACAAATCACGACCGCACTCTCAGATCTAGACTAACCACACCGCAACGACGATCTGCCGACGACGACGCACCACACCGCGATTACCTCGACGCAACCACCGCCTCCACCGCGTGATTAACCTTATGCGGAAGAGATGACGAAGCGATTCTTGGGGTTTTGGGGGCTTCCAGATGCGCAAAGTGTGATTTTCTTCTTGCTCTTCTTATTTAAAATTTATTTCCAAATTTATGTTTTTTTTTCTGAAGGTATTATTTGTTGTGTATTACTTGATAGGTATTAGGAATAACTGAATAAGGGCTTGGGGTGGCTTGAATTGGATCGATATGGCTCAAATTGTGCCATCTTAAATCTGCATTTGGACATACCATCTAAAAGATTATGTTTACATGCATGAAGCTGTTGCAGAGCTGCTATCCACAACTTTTACATGAACTTTCATGTGGAATATAATTATTGGGGCAAACTTCTATCTTATCTTACTTTTTATGTTTTTAGGGCTTTATTACTTATCTGTGACATGGTATATGTTTGGTAATGATTTTAAATCAGCTTAATGTTAAATATTCAGGCAGTGGCTAGTGAGGGTGGCACTGAAGATGCAAAAAGAAGGGGTGATGTGTTTGCTCATGCATTTTCAGCACATTTGGCAAGGTAGTATGTTTTAGTAATCCAATTGTTCTTACATTCCTCTTATAAAAATCATTTCCCCATAGTATGATACTTTTTTAAAAATCATTTCCCCATAGTATGATACTTTTTTATACTAAAATTTTAACTGATTGCATCATTTTTCAGTTAAGTTTATGAGTACAATATTTGGATTGTGATATTTTATATTAAAAGTTTTTGCTACCCTTGATTGTCATACTTTATTTTTCTCTAAGAGATCATATGCTTTGTGATTCAGTGGACAATGTTAATGTTCTCGTCATCTCTGCTTCACTATGAATATGACTTAATTGTTTGAAGAAACCCCTTTCTTATTCAGTTAATGTTTCTTGTTTGGAAATTCTAGTCTCCATTTCTGCATTCTTTATCTCACTAAACGTATGCTTTTGCAATTTTCCTGTTATATGAAATCCTTCTAATTTTCTGTTATATTTGTATTTTGTTAACAGATTGATGGAGGAGCCTGCTGCATATGGTAAGCTAGGACTGGCTGACCTTTTGGAACTACGAGAATAGTGCTTGAGAGAGTTTCATTTCTTTGATGCCTACAGGACCATTAAACAAAGGTATGGATATAGGAAAGATACATCTTTTGCATATTGTTCACTGAAAATGACCCCTTCCATCTATTATTCTATATTTCTATATATCAGGGAGAACAAAGCATCACTTGCAGTTTTACCTGATCTTCTGATGGAGCTTGACGACATGAATGAGGTATGATTAACTCTATTTGCAGTTTTCCTGTTTTACTGAGTAGAAGTGCTAGGAACGTGTTCTAAAATGTAACGTTTTACATATTTCATTCAATCCTTTCAACTTATCTCTAGCAATCAAAATACTTCCTCTCCACTTAAACTGCTTTAATTTCTTCTAGGAAATGAGACTACTTACCCTAATTGAAGGAGTACTTGCTGCAAACATCTTTGATTGGGGATCACGGGCCTGTGTTGATCTCTATCACAAAGGAACAATCATCGAGATATATAGGATGAGCCACAATAAGATGCAAAGACCCTGGCGGGCAAGTGACACAAAAATAATTTTCTAAAATGAAATTTCAAATATGAGTTTTTTTTTATAAAACTCTGAACTGAGACGTTATAATTATTAATACTCTTTCTGATGTACTCAAGTGGATGATTTTGATGAATTCAAGGAGAGAATGTTAGGATCTGGAGAGACGAAACCACGACCTCATAAAAGAGCATTGCTAGTACCAAACTCACTCCCAGCATTAAATGATGTTACTGCTATGGAGTTGCCCGATATTGTTGCTGAAGCTGCTAAGGTATACTAATATACTACTTCATCCTGAATTGATATTTCCCCTCCATAGACTAATGTAAAAGTATGATTTATGTGCCTGATACCTCTCCTTTGACCAAAGCCTTATAAGAAGACATGATAGGTTATGTGCCGAATTGACACATTTCACCTCAACTTAAAGTATTTTTTTGTGGACTGATATTACATTGTTAGATGTCCTCAACTTACCTACCCTGTGTTGAAAGTATCAATGATTTTACGTTTTATGCACATTTCAAGTGATGTGCCTTTTAATTTTTAAGTGATGTTATTAACTTGTTTTCTATCTCATTTGTTAGCTAGACTAGTGGTGTGTAAAGAGATTGAGCTTTACTTGAAATGAATTGATAAACCAGCGGTGATAACTCGCCGCTCCTTCTCTGTCTCCCCTAGTTCCCTCAGCCTTTGCCTTCCACCTCCAAGCCCCTCTCCTCTCTCTCTCTCTCTCTGAGTTGCTCAACTCAGCTCAGTTCTACCCAGGTTAGCTCTCTCTCTCTCTCTCTCTCTCTCTCTCTCTAGTTACAGACCACCCTCTTTTCATTTCAAATCTTCTAGATTTGTTTGTGTAGATTTGGGACCCCAGATCTGCTTCTGTTATGTTGAATTAACTACTATATCTATAATCTATCTACATTGTGTGTGTGTTTGTAATGTAGCTCTGAATTCTGGTTTTCTTGTGCTTGCATCTAAAAGGGTACCTGAATCTGTTATGTTTCTGTTTGTGTCCTTTTCTTGGAACTTACGTCAGAATGCTGAGATCTACAGCTTCGGTGGGCTAAAGATTACAACTTTAAAAAGGAAATACAGTACTAATCTGATATCCCAAATCCCAAATCCCACTTCCTAGCATGTCTGTATGTACTTTCCTTGTTCACGAAAAGTGACATTCTTCTTGAGATGCTGGGTTTTAGTAATTCTTTTAATATTCTTTCTTATTGAACTGAATCATGAATGCTTATCTGTTAAAGGGTGCCTGATCTTTTTCATTAGTGGCTTATTATTATCCTTCTTTTGGATGGAATTAATGTCCAAATGCTGAGATCTACATATATATGGGGGCTAAAGAATGTGACTTTATCAGTAGTAGGATGATTCTAGATTTCTAGACTTCTAGTTAATGCAACTTTAGCAAAATTAGAATGATTCTAGTTGAACTGTCTTTGGATCTATGTGTTGCCTATGATGTTTGTGATTTCATTTAATTAGGATCTTGCAAATGCAGGGACTCTAGTCTCTAGTGTTTATTCCAGGGAGAGAGAGAGAAGCACATTATCATACCTGTAAGATGGATTACACTTTTGTGTTTGTGGTTGCTAGTCTGCTGATCTTTTCTTGCTCGATGCCGGCAGTGAATGCCCAAAAAAGCATTTCTCTGTCTCCGGCGCCAGCCCCGGCCCCAGACTTTGTGAACCTAACAGATTTGCTATCTGTTGCTGGACCTTTCCACACTTTCCTTAACTACATTGAGACCACCAAAGTTGTGGAAACTTTCCAAAACCAAGCCAACGATACTGAAGAAGGGCTTACTCTCTTTGTGCCCTTACAATTGTGGAAACTTTCCAAGGCATTAAACTGAAGAATTGCCTTTACAATTGAACATTCATGCTGGATAATTGTAATCTCTTTTTCTGACAAAGTAGAAATACAAGATATTTCTAAGCAAACGTGTTTTTTCGTACTAGTGGGGCGTAGAAGCAACCAAGTATATAATCAAATGAAATGTTATATATTTCTTCTTTTTGTTCCTTTTTTATCAAATTGATTCATACGAGTTGTTGGTGCAAACAAATAATGGAAGGATTGAATCTTGGTGACCTTGTTGGACAACCATATGGTTCACACAAGCATTACAGTGTAACTTACTGTTTCCCTTCCAAAATTATTTACTTGAGGTCAGTCAATTCTTGATATAGCTGTGATGTAGAGTTGTAGACACAGTAGTCGAATGTTATAGAGTCAATCTCTTATCAATTGTGTTTATTAAAGTGGCTGATTTTTTCTTCCACCGTTCTCACCTCTTAAATAACCCTTCTGCAGTGTCTTCTTGTTTTTGCTTGACCTCGATTGTTCAGGTTCTTTCAAGGAAGGCAAAGAATAGGTATACATGGAAAGGGTTTGAAGCAATTCCTAGAGCTTTTGAAGAACTGAAGGTAACAACTAACAAGACATATATTAGCTTAGCTAGCTAGCAGCTTAAACTTAGCAAGAAATTATCAATTCTGTTGTGAATAGAGATCTTTTAGCTCAAGGTTCACAATTTTTACTATGTATTTAAGAGTTCATGTGTTAAACATCTAAGTTTATTATCTAATATAATGATATTGGATCTGGATTAACCTAGGTAATTTTGAATTTTAATAAATTTACTGTTATACTTAAAAAAAAAAAAAAAAAAAAAAAGAATGAAAGAAAAAAAGAAAAGAATTTACAGTAATAAATCTTTGTTGCTTGCAAAATTGCAACTGGACTTGGAATTAATTTATAGTTTTATACATCCTTGTTTTGCAGTTCAGCTTATATAAATCCAATTGAAAGTACCGGTAAGATGGATCTTTGAACATTTCTAAGATGGGCGGCCATTCATCTTGGTTGCTCAACCTTGGCAGAAATTGAATGAGCTCCTCCCACTACTGAATTGGAGCCTATACGATCCAACTATAGCCAGGTCTTAGTTTTGGCACACTAGTTCATTGATTGTTTTTTAGCCATTCATTTAAATTCATTGATTATTTTTTAGCCAGGTCTTAGCTTTCAATTATTTTTAATTTGGAACTGTAAATTTGTAATTCATTGATTGTTTTATAGCTTGAAGTATTGTAATTTTATAATGTTTGTATGAGAATTGCAGTGTGAAAAACAAATACTGTTTTTGTTTTTGTTTTTATAATTTTTAATTTTTTTAAAAAAAAAATTAAAATAAATCCGCCACTCTTCTTCAAAGAAGAACAGTGGCGGAAAGTGAATTTTTTTAAAAATATAAAATTAATCCGCTACTGTTCTTCAACAAGAACAGTAGCGGAAAATAATAAAATAATAATAATAATAATAATCTGCCACCGTTCAAGTGAAGAACAGTAGCAGATGACTCAACTTTTCGCTACTGTTCCACAACAGTGACGAAAAGTCCATGACTTTTAGTGACTATAGTATTCGCTACTGTTGTACAACAGTGGCGAAAAGCCCTTTACAACAGTATCAAATGTGCAGTTTTGTACTAGTGTGGTGAAAAGACAAGGATACCCTTACTAACTCTTAGAAAGTGTAAGGAACATGGGAACTCCTCTCAAAGCACAAGGTACAACACAACTTAAAGATTGACTAGTCAAATACTAGTCCTTGAGTATTAAAAATCAGGATTTTAGGAATCAATTCCTCAAGAGAAATAGAATTAATTACTCAATTAATTCATGGATTAGAGTGTGGATCTTTGGGGTGTCACATCCTCTCCCCCTTCAAAGAAGTTTCGTCCCCGAAACTTGGGTACAACGAGTTAAAACGAAGGTAACAAGGAAACAAAATTGTGACAAGAAATTTCAAGAATATCCCTTTTGGTCAAAACTCCAAAAGTTCTCACAAGGTTCCAAAGCAAAGAAGAAGACATTACGGATTCAAGGATTGGCAAGGGGTCAACAAACGGATAGATTGAGCATCAAGAACTCTACCCTTAACAACAACCAACTTCTAGCAAACAACCAAGAACTCAACAACTAACCCAAACACCAACTAACAAACTAGCTAAACAACAAGACAACAAACAAAACAAGCAAGCATACAAAGCACACAACAACCTAGCACCAAGCTACAACGGCTAAGAAACAACAAGGAAGAAGCGAACGGGGTTACCACAACACCACTAGAACTCCTCACTCTCCGACTCTTCGGCCTCTTCAAACTCTTTTTCTTCGGCTTCATCTCTGTGACTAGAACTAGCTTCAATCTGATCCAGCCTCTGATGCACTGTGACAAACTGAGACTTCACAAACGCAAAGCCCTCGGCGATCAAACTGTTCTGCTGACGAAGCAAGGAGACGACGTCCTGCTCTCTCTTGGTGCGAACTTCCTTCCTTCTTCGGCTTTCCTCACTGTCTGATTCACTTACTACAGCTTCGGTGGTCTCCGGTGCTCCTTCTTCCTGATCTGTTTCCTCCTCAACTTCTTCGTCACCACCCAAACTCTGGACTGCAAGGCTCAACTTCCTGGCATGGATCCCAAACCCGGCAGCTAACTCTGCTCTCTCAACAGGTGCTTTCCTTGCAACCTCTTCAAGCGTGATGTACTCACCACTATCCAACTGAAACAGATTACAACTCCGGAGATTGGCGGTATCCAACACCATCTTTCCAACAGCCTTCGAGAGACAACCATCCACACTAACACCTTTCTTAACCAAAATCCAACTTAGCACCATTCCATACGGCAAACTCTTCCGATTGTGATCCCGGCAAAACACCATGTGTTGCATCATCAAAGCAGGCAGGTTGAACTTAACCATATTCTTCAGACAGAAAGCAAAGGTACACTCCAACTTACCCAACAAACTTCTCTTGTTGTTGTTAGGCAACAAATAATCTGACACCAACATCACCAAGATCCTTTGTTCCGCAGACAACCACTTCCTTTCCGGCCTCGAAGCTTGAGTGAAACCACTCGTACGCCCAAACAGATAACTCAAATAGTCACGGTACCCCATGGTATCCGTACTAATCCAAGAATGACCACTGTACTAAGCCACTCCGGTAGCAGACAAACTCAACAACTGAGCCAACCTCTTCTCAGACAACACAACCTTCACACCTCTCACCTTAGAGGTGATCTCAAGCCTTTCACCTTCCTTCGTCACAACCATGTGACGGTAAAACTCCTTCACCAAACTCGGGTAAGTCTCGGCCCTTATGGCGAGAAACCCATCTAACAAACCTTGAAACTTAAGCAAATCCAACAAGGAACTTGAAAAAGATTCCGGATCAAAAGCTTTACCTTCAAGCACAAGGTAATGGGCATCCACCCATTCCGCTTTCCTAGCCAAACTTGACCTTCTAGGCATGGTAGGAAATGATCCAAAGCTCAACAAACAAAGCCCACAACTTCTTCTACACTCACGCTGCCTCTCTCTCTCTCTCTCTCTCTCTCTCTCTCTCTCTCTCTCTCTCGCGCTGCTCGGCGACACGGCACAGCAGGACGGCGGCGGCGGTGCGGCGAAGCTCCGGCGGCGAGGCGGCGGAGAACAGCGACGGGGAGGTTGGTGGTGGCGGGTTGCGAAGGAGCGACGGGGTAGGGTGGTATTGGGTAGCTCACGGGTAGGGAGAAGGAAAAAGGAGAAGAGAATTTGGGAAAAGAAATTAGGGATTAGGATGAGATTAGGGAAAAAGATGATTAAATTTGGGGATTTTGAACAAAGTGGAATTTAAGGTTTAGGTGGGATTAAAATTGGTTAGGTTTCAAGAAAGACATTTGGCCCAAGTGGTTTAGAGGTTGGGTAGAAAAGAAATAGGCTAAGGTTTGAAACTCAAAAGCTATAATTAAACATTAGGCTTGATTTTTAGACTTCACAAGGAAAGACTTTGGGTAGGGATTTGCTATTTTCCAAATCAAAGAAATACTTGGAAAATTTAGGGAAAAGCACAAGGAATTGTTGTAAGAACAACCAAGTCCAAAGGTGAAAGAATTGGGCTACACACAAGATAACTCAAGGATAGATAGCTACCACAAACGAGATACCAACTAAAGAAAACACTTAGCAAGAAAAGAGTTTATACTAAGCATCCAACGAAAAACTAACAAGGAAAGCATGCCAAGGATTGCCAGACAAGGACAACTACGAAACACAAGATAGCACCCAAGGCAACAAAGAACACAACGCTCTCGGGGACACAAGGATAGGCTCAAAAACAAGGGTTACCTGCTAACTCCTCCTCCACCAGACCCTCCGACTCCGCCTGCGAACGCGCCATCACAAAAACTCTCCCAGGCGGCCTAGCTCCGACAGCTCCGCGACCTGAACTCCCTCCTGGTGCTCCTCCGGCTCCCGGGGGTGGCGGCAACGCTCTCTGACCGGAAAGTTGGGGACACTCCACGACTCTATGACCAGCAACCCCACAGCGAAAACACTTAAACACCTGGCCATAGAAAACTTGGCCCGGATGCACCTTCCCACACTTGCGACAACCAACCGACTTAGCTTGAACCGGAGGCTCCAACCTAACTGGTCCTTGAGAAGAAGATGACACAAACCTAGCCGGAAAACTCGGTCGGGGCTTCTTGAAAGCAAAAGAACCTCCACACTCCACTCTCTTCCTAGCCAACTCAAGCGAACTCTTCTGAAGCTGCTGAACACGAAACAGATCTGCGGGACATAGATACGCATCCTTGAGGGAACTAGGTCTACTCACCGTCAACGCTTTTCGTGCCTCATAATTCAGACCAGCAACGAAATGCTCAACCTTGGCAAGCTCTGTAGGCACCAACACCCTCGCGAAGCGCGCCAGCTCTAGGAACTTCTTGTGGTACTCCACCACAGATAGAGGTCCTTGCTGCAGATGA